ACAAAGTTGCAAGCAAGCCCCAAACCCGCAGTCTGAGCCAACCCCTCAGCCTCACCCACACACTGAAGAGGGAAGAGCACAGGTCCTGGTTTCCTCCATTCAGATACCATAAGGTGGCCGTAGTCACCTCGCATTGGAAGCCCTGCCTGGCAGACAGATGGACCCAGATGGACCCTTCACTGCCCAGCCTGGCAGCACCTCGATCCACCTCCTTTCAGTCGTGTGAGTTCCCACTCACCCCCAGCAGCTGGCTCTGGAGAAACACAACGGGGTGCTTAAACGGTTCCTTCACCAAGAGCAGCAGTGATTCCTACCTTGTAACCCTGGGCAACTTCCTCTCTGGGGACCACACAGGTGGCTTTTCCGTCCTCCTTACAGAAGAGTTGGAGTTTTTCCTTGTGTGTCTCACACAGATTCTCATTCTGCGCTTGCCCAGGCTGTAACCTCAGTGGTTTGATGCTCTCTATGATATTGGCCAGCTGCCTGTTGGGCCTGAAATTCCCTTTCTGGAACAGCGCTCGGCAGTCGGGACAGGGGAACTTTGTGCCTGATTGAGGCCTCCTTCGCTCACTGTACCGGGTGATGCAGGCTCGGCAGAAGTTGTGCCCACAGTCTATGGTCACTGGCTCCGTCAGATACTCCAGGCAGATGGAGCACGTGGCTTCTTCTAATGCTTTCCCTATGGGCGCAGCTGAGGCCATGGCTGTCTTCTGTGTCTTGTTGATGGGCGGTCCCCTTGCTGCCTGAATCAGCTCTTCACATGCCCAGAATAAAGTGAGAACAGGAGGACGGGGCGGGGGGGGGGGAGGGGGCAGGAGGGTTTCACAGAGAAGGTGGGAAAGTGAAATGGGGTGAGATGGAGAGAAGAGAACAGGTAAGACACGATTATTGACCTTCTGCAGGTTTTTGGAGCCTCATACGGACATGGATTTGACAGCACTTTGTTAACATTAACTCTTTATTTTGGGGTTGGATCAGCTATATCAGAGGAACCCCTTGACCAAATGACTCCAACTTGCACCTGTGATGGGTTGGGTCACAGAAACCTCCTTGGGACTGCCACCTGATGTGCCGAGACTACCTCTGAGCCCATTTTCCCTGCCAGCTTGGGACTCCAGTACCCTGTCTTGTTTGAGCCAGACGCTTGCCTGCTGCAAACCCAGGTACATGTCTGAACCACCTGCCCCACAAGCTGCAGGCTTAACTGAAAACAGCTTAAGAAGTGTTCCTGTCTCCAGCACTCAGATGCCCAGCTCCCAATGGGGTCCAAACCCCAAATAAATCCGTTTATACAGGGTAAACTCATAAATTGTTCACCCTCTATAACACTGACAGAGATATGCACAGCTGTTTGCCCCCCCTCCCCCCCCCCCCGGTATTAATACATACTCTGGGTTAATTAATAAGTAAAAAGTGATTTTATTAAATACAGAAAGTAGAATTTAAGTGGTTCCAAGTAGTAACAGACAGAACAAAATAAATTACCAAGCAAAATAAAATAGAACACGCAAGTCTACGCCTAATACAGTAGGGAACTACATGCAGGTAAATCTTACCCTCAGAGATGTTCTAATCAGCTTCTTTGACAGACTAGCCTCCTTCTAGTCAGGGCCCAGTCTTTTCCCCGGTACAGTCCTTGTTCCAGCTCAGGTGGTAGCTAGGGGATGCTTCATGATGGCTTCTCCTTCTCTCTCTTCTCCTCCCCCCTTTATCAAACCTT